GAATTTCTGTTTTAATAGAATTTTTACTTAGTTCAATTTTTTATTAAATCACCTTTCTGGTTGATAAGAATTTTTATTTAGTCAAATTTTTATTTAACTAAACAATCTATAAATTCGTTAGCTTATTTAATTTTCAATTAACTGCAATTCGATCAAATATACAAGAATTCAAAATTCCTTCAAATTAAAATTTGTTTAATTAAAAAATTGACTAAACGAAAATTTAGCCAAGAAAAGCTAATAAAAATTTATTTATTTCGAAAAATAAAAAATTGGCTAAATGACTATTTAGCCAAATAAACCAAATGAATAAAAATGTATTTATTTTGCGAAATGAAAATTTAGTCAAATGAACCAAATAAAAATTTATTTATTTCGCAAAATAAAAAATCGGCTAAATGACTATTTAGCCAAATAAACCAAATGTATAAAAATGTATTTTTATTTCGCGAAATGAAAATTTAGCCAAATGAACCAAATAAAAATTGATTTATTTTGCAAAATAAAAATTCAAAACAGAAAATAAAAAGAAAATCATGAATACCTAATTAAAATTATTTTTTTTCCAAAAAAGAAATGAAATATTTTTTGCATTATTATAATATTTCTCAAATATAAACCATGCCTAATTATTATTTGAGAAAGCACGATCCGGATTTAATGAGGAAATTAGTGTTCAGTCGGTGTCAAACATGGATTGCATTTTATCTTGAATGTTGGTAGTTTGCTTTTCCATTACTTGGCACGTGCGGCATGAGGAAATACATACGTATATATATATATATAATATATATAAAAAGGGGTGAAGGGAATTTAAGTTTGTAGTTTGACGTCAGGTTTCCTTACGTATATATGTATATATAAAAGGGCGTTAAAGCGTAAAGAAAAGAGATAGAGAATTTCTCTCGCATATTATATCCTTGACGCGTCACAGTTGACGAAAACATTACTCTTTTGAAAGAGGGACCCATTAGATATATATGTATAACAGTCGTGCCGCTCATTGGGACGAGTGCAAAACTGAGCAAGTGCAATGTGCAAGTCGAGTTCATAGAAGAGGTGCACTTTGCCTCGCACTGTAACGGGTTTTCACTCCTTCACGTGCACGGTATAATTACCGAGGGCTTCACTGTATTCACTTAAGTATAGTTAACTCGTACATATATATATATATATATATATATATATATATATACACACGCGGGCATCAAGTATCCGGTCCCTGAATAAACTTGTACGCTTTTACTTGTCTATTTGATGCCTTTATTCCAAAACTATATCCCTTTTTTTTATTTTCTTATTTCTTTTTTTTCTTTGCTCAATAATAATAATTATTTAATCATTTGGTTAATAATATTAGGATTTTAATATAATTATTATATATTTATTTACAGTAATAAATTAAACTGCCTGTTCGTACAATTTTTGGTATTTTATTTAAAATAGAAAAAAATAATAATAATATAATTTTTGGAACTAGTATCTTTAAAGAAAAATATTTATTTGATTCAAACAATTGTTAACTTAACTATTATTAAATAAATGTTTACTTGAATAAAATAAATATTTATTATTTTCAAATAATTGCCTATTATCACACTGGAAAAAAAATTTATTTAATTCAAATACTCGATTACTTGACTGTTATCAAATAAATATTTACTTGAACCAAATAATTTTTATTTGAATAAAATAAATTTTATTTGAAACAAATATACCATTTAATCGAATCAAATTAATAATTATTTGATACAAATAAATATTTATTTGATAGTAGTAAAGTATAATCGAATAATTGACTCAAAATAATAATTATTTGATACAAATAAATATTTATTTGATAATAGTAAAGTAATCGAATAATTGAATCAAATAAATTTTTTTTTTCAGTGCAAATAAAGATTTCTTTGGACCAAATAATTTTTATTTGAAACAAATATACCATTTAATTGACTCAAAATAATAATTATTTGATACAAATAAATATTTATTTGATAGTAGTAAAGTATAATCGAATAATTGACTCAAAATAATAATTATTTGATACAAATAAATATTTATTTGATAATAGTAAACTAATCGAATAATTGAATCAAATAAATTTTTTTTTTCAGTGCAAATAAAGATTTCTTTGGACCAAATAATTTTTATTTGAATCAAATAAATTGTATTTCAAATAATTTTTATTTTAATTATAAATAAATTAAATTTGAACGAAATAATTTATAATTTATATATAAAAAGAAATAATTGAATAATCTTTGGAAATAAAAATATGAATTATATTAAAATTAAATAATTAACAATTTTTAATTTTATCTACATCTGTGACTTGACAGTTAGAAATATAATATTTCCCGATATATTAAATGTGACATTATCACTTTTTCCCTATTCCAATGGTAAAAACAAAAAAATCTCTTTCTTTTCCTTTTTTTTTTTTACTTCCGATTTCCGGTTTAACTCTAAAGTACTTTTTCTGTAACGTGTGAATGACAGTCGCGTTCACTTTTTTTTCTCTCAGAAAGTGGATATATAGCATTTTTTTTAGAAAGATATATATAATTTTTTTTTTATTTCGATTCTATGTTACGTGAGCATCTGCAGGTATTCTCTTTTTATGAGAAATGTATGTCTATTTTACGTTTGATGATCAGTCGTGAAATGTCCTCTCTCGAGCACACACACACCAATCATCTTATACATATTTCGATAGAAGAGGAAATAACTCTTGAGATTCAAAACAATTTATACATATCCAGACTCCTATATATATTATTGCTCGCAATGAATTTTATTCGTTTGCTCTCTATATAAATTCTACGTTTCAATTTGCAAATACTATTTGCATAACTAATTCGCAATGTTTTTTGTTTTTTTTTGTTTTATTTTTTTTTTCTAAAAATTGTTTATTCTTAAAAGTGGAGAAAAAAAAATGCCGAAAAAGAAAATTTTATTCAATCGTAAAAAAATATTTATCTAGAACAGCGATATGTTTCATTAAAACAGGGAAAGTTTTCGCTATTATAGAGAAATATATCGCTATTCCAGAGAAACTTATCGCTGTTCCAGGCGAATATTTTTTATCGCGTAATTAATTATTAATTATTATTATTTTTTCGAAAAAAATTATTAAATATTTTATTTTTTTTATATATTATATTCAATTATAAATATTTTATATTATATTATACAATATTTTATAATATTACACTGAAAAAAAAATTTATTTGATTCAAATACCGGTGTATTTGGTTATTATCAAATAAATATTTATTTGAATCAAATATTTCTTATTTGATTCAAATATATAGTATTTGAATAAAATATTTCAGTATTTGAAGCAAATACAATTTATTTGATTCAAATAAGAAATATTTGATTCAAGTAAATATTTATTTGATAATAACCAAATACACCGGTATTTGAATCAAATAAATTTTTTTTTCAGTGTATATATTATATAGTTTATTTAAAATATTAAATTAATTAATAATTATATTTTTGCAAAAAAGTGAATTTTCCCTTCTTGAATGATTTTTTTACTTTTTTTATATTTCAATTTTTTTCACGATAGTTATATATATATTTTTCGTTATCTTCACTTTTTTTGTGTTTAACTGGGATGTTAAATTAGTTATTACTGCGAAACGTGTGTATACGAGCTCAATGGCGCGATGGTATATATATATATTTATATTCGTATTTGTTTGCATAATTTCAAGGATATATAAATGCTTTCTCGCACCAAAAATATTCGCGATTCGTTATATTTGCGAAAAATATGCAGCAATGACGTCTGCGTACGACGACCTAGAAGCCAAGACTCGTCGATGAGTCATATATATATAGTTGAAGCATTCTTTTGACGCCATTTTTACCTTTCGCATTCCTCATCGCCCTCCATAGGGTCTCTCTCATATTGGTCACTATCGAAAAACTCGAATCCCGCGAATTATAATTGGAAAAAAAAAATAAAAAAAATAACAAAAAAAAAATTACTCCGCCAACGTTCGTCATTTAGAGAGCAAAATCTCAAATTTTAAAAAATGCGGTTAAAAATTTTATAGTCAATTTGGAAATTATATTTAATTAAATTATACATTTTATTTATATTAATAATTATAATTAATTTATTATTATTTATTAATATTTATTATTATTGTTTATTAATATTATTTATTAATAATTATAAAATAAAAAGGCCTAAAATGGTATTTTTATTTTATAATTATTAATACAAAAAATGGTTCTAGCAAAAAACAAAAATTTTTTTTTAATTAATATTGTTTATTAGTATTGTTTATTAATACTATTTATTAATAATTATAAAATAAAAAGGCCTAAAATGGTATTTTTATTTTATATAATTATTAATACAAAAAATGATTCTAGCAAAAAAGAAATATTTTTTTTATTAATATTGTTTATTAGTATTACTAATTAATATTATTTATTTAAATTTCTGAAATTAATAACAAATAATAAACAAATAACAAAACAATAATTGTTTAATCGACAGATAATTATTTTTTTCTGCATTAATAAATTAATAATTTCTCGAAATTTTTTTTTTTTGTCCACTTTCCTGAGGGGCAAATTTAAACATTTGAAAGAATAAAATTATTATCAGATTCTCTTGGGAATGAGAATATATATATATATATATAAAGTAAATATAATGAACTCTCCGGGATTTCGCGATATTGAGTATCATTCGCGGCTAATAAATATTTGTTCATGGTTTAAACAAACTCGAGAGTTAAACTCGAAAGACGATTAATTGTCCTCTGAGTCAACAAGTAGTACCTTCGAGAGCAAGTTTTCTTTTTTTTTTTTGTAACTTTTCTCTTTCTCTCTCTTGTCTTCAAACTCCTTCAATTTCTAGTCGCTCGACAATACGTTTGACTTACTCGTATCGCGTTTCTCACTTGAAGAAAATTGGCGAGAATGTCACACTAGAAAAAAAAAAAAAAACTTTATATTTTTCTTTGTTTCAGGAAATGACGTCAGCCGCAACACCATTGACAGCCATACCTCAAACACCAAGAAAGGAAATTGAGTCGAAATACACATTCAACACGAGTCTGGTGAGAAAATTTTTTTCAAAATTCTTTTTTTTTTTATTATTTGACGTAAATAATGGGAAAATTTAAATATGAAAATTATAATCAAGTTTAAGGAAAATAAGAACAAAACAAAAGGAAATAATTATTGCAATTGGGAGAAAATTAGTAAAATTGAAAAAAAAAATTTATTTACGCCAAAGAAAAATTTATTTATGAGAAATAAAATTTTTATTTACGCCAAAGAAAAATTTATTTATGAGAAATAAAATTTTTATTTGCGCCAAAGAAAAATTTATTTATGTTAAATAAAATTTTTATTTACACCAAATAAAATAAGTTAGTAAATAAGACAAATATATACTTTTATTTAATTCAAATATATTTTATTTGGTTCAAATATATTTTATTTGATTCAAATAAATTATTACTCTAGGTGTAATTGTGAAAATTAGCTCCCTGAGTAAAAATAAATAACACTAATTAACTAAAACTTAAATAATTAGTTAACTAATTATAAAATTAAATTATAAATCAATTAATTAAATAATTAGGTAATTAATTTTTTAGTTAATTACTCTCTAAATTTGAATTAGTAAAAACGTTTACTAATTTGAATTAGTTGCTATTTTTTCTCAATTAGTAAAATTTTACTAATTATTAACTTTTACTAACAATCAGTAAAATTTAACTAATTCTATAAAGCAAAAAGTGAGTGACTAATTTAAATTAGTAAACATTTTTACTAATTTAGATTTAGAAAGTTTAATAGAATTTTTGTTTGCTAACGAATTAATTAAAAAATAAAAGAATAAAAATAAATAAATAAAAAAAATTTTTTTTTTAAATTTAGAAATAATTTCTGATTAGAAAAGGGTCTCTTCAATTTTCCATTGAGTGGATTTCATTGCCAATTGGAAATCTTATAAGCAGAGCTCGACAGTGCTCTTTCGATTCATTCCTTTCATGCTTGCGTACACGGTATATAAACACCGGGAGAATTCAAATTGCCCGGTACGCTTGGCACTAAAAGGAGTCTCGTGCCACTTGGCGTTGTGTCAAGAAAAAATCGGCGAGAATGTTTCAATTCTTTCTTTCATAGCATATATATATATATATATATATATATATATATATACAAATTTTCAAGTGAAACAGAGTAAAACATATAAATACAGGGGACAGATATTCCACAAAGTTTATATACCTCATGTACAACTTCCCTTCTGCGTATTCTTGGAAATTATTATATCTCGTAAAATGTGGGTTAATTTCATCTCCTTCACATCTCTTTCTCGGCAGAGCAGGCGTAAATAAAATTCTTCTCATGTCATGAGAGAAAAGAAAAAAAAAATATTTGAAAACACTCGGAATAAATTTTGAAACGTCGCCAAAAACTTGATACTCCAAATCATTTTAAATCTTCTTGATTTGATTTAAATTGGATCAATTAATTGGATTACATTTAATTATACACAAAATTTTAATTTGATTTAATTTTTTTAATTCATTTATTTTTTAAATTTATTTATTTAATATTTATTTTTTCAAATAATTTTTTTATTTTTTTATTTATTTTATTTATTCACTATAATTTTTTAATTAATTAACCCTAGGAACTTTATTAAATAAATAAATAGTATTGTTTTTTAAATAAAAATATTTTTAAAACTTTTTTCCGTGTAGAATTTTTTTTTTTATTACTTTGTTTACATATATATATATATATCTTTTTGAATTATTTAAAACACAACTGCAGTCTTTTAAAGTCCTCTAAAAATTATTTCATATTCTCTTTATTACTTTTTTCCGTGTAGATTTAAAATAAAAAAAAAAAAAAATCCCAAAACTCTAAGCGAAGGAGAAAAATACATATTTCGAAATAATCTTTTTTTTCCTCTCTTAAATCAACAAAAGCATCTTCCTTATAATTTATAAAGAATGTTTTTCCATTTACTTTTTTATGATTTATGCAAATTATTTATAAACAAAAAATTTATTTTTCTATAATTTATAAATATAAATTTATAAATAAAAATTTATGAATTAAATTATTAAATATAAATTTATAAATAAAAATTTATGAATTAAATTATTAAATAAAAATTTATAAATTAAATTGTTAAATAAAAATTTATAAATTAAATTATTAAATTTAAATATTTACAAAGTTTATAGTATCATAAATCGTTTTTGGGGAAAAAAAAAAGAAATTTTTGTGGTATAAACAGTGGATTATATATATATATATGCTTTGAAATGCGGTACTTTGCAGCTGCATCAGGCATTATCCATCAAATGTAAAACTTTGGTTTTTGATCCTCGAAAGTTGTATGCACAACTTCGCAAGGTTGAAAACACCAGAGTTTCGAGTTTCTGCATAGAAATGTTCAATTCTCTCCACTTGAAAGAATGTCGATTTTAAAAAGAGTATTCTCATATTCTGACTGAAAATTTATTTTTCTACGTATATATACAAAACTTTTGTGTATAAAAATCAACAAAATGATTTTTTTTTATTTTTCAGGTTGAAAATCCACCACCAACAAAGCCTCGTGAGTAATTTTTAATTTTAAATTATTCTTAATTAATCGTTGAATTTAAAATCATTTGATTCAAATTTTTTTCGGTTAATAAATTGGTTTAATAATTTATTTATTTCCGTATAAATAATAATTTATAAATAATTTATTATTTATTTCCGTATAAATAATAATTTATAAATAATTAGTTTTTAAATCGTTTTGAATTAAATGATTTTAAATTTTTTATATAGAGCAATAATTCATTTTCAAAATGGAATTTTCTAGCTATACAATTATCATATATAGAGAACATAAATCAAAAAAAATTTTTATTTATCAAAAAAAAAAAAAAAAAAAAAAAATGAATACACTTTCATAGTGGAAATATATTTTAAATTCATAGTGCGTTCATTTTCTTTTTGTTCTTTGAATATTTTTTTTTGAGCGTAAAATGCGTGGAAATTGTGTGGTTTTGATTGAAATCCTGAGAAGGGTAGAAAAGTGGTTTCATGAATTAACCATACGACCTGCTGAGACATTTTCCATCTCTTTCCAAATGAGAGAGAAAGAAAAAAACCAGTTAACAGAATATTTATAAAACTATTTTAATTCTTTGATATTGCGATTACACAAATATAACGTAATTTTTTTTCTTATATCAAATATTTTTTTCATATAACAGAAATTTTATTTACATTTTTCTCTTTAGGTAAAATAAATAATATTTATTTAAAAATAAATTATAAATAAATTTAAAAAATAAGAAATAAATTAGAAATTCGAAATAAATTTAAAAAATTAGAAATAAATTAGAAATTCGAAATAAATTTAAAAAATTAGAAATAAAATTAGAAATTAGAAATTACAAATAAATTTATAATTTATAAATTATAATTAAAAATTATTTATAAATAAATATTTATATTTTACCCTAAGAAAACAATTGAAAATAAAATTGGAAAAATAATTTTGATGGTATTTTATATTTAATTTCGAGGGTCTCTCTCTCTGTGTATGTGTATTTAAATTACACACCTCAAGTTTACCCTTTTAACAGGTCCCTTTTGTACTTGTCGTTTGCGTGTGATGACCGCGAATGAACCACCGTACATCGTTTTGTGCTTAAATTAAACGCATTGACGTCAAATACCCCATTAGCAGAATCACTTGTTTTTGAATCTCATCGGAAATCATTCGCGAGTTGTTTGAATCGTCATTACCTACCTATATATATATCTGTTTCTCTCTCTTTTTTATCTTCGTCTTCTTTTTCACTATATATATATAGTTGATTTCACAATCATTTATCTTTTCTCTCTAATGTCATGATTATTATTACAGTTTCATTTTTATATTATTATCGCTTTTAAAATATCAAATATAACTTTTTTTCGAAACAAGTAAATATTTTATCAGTTGCTTTTCTGTTTAATAATTTTAAATTTCTATAAAAGTTTTCATCATGAAATTTGAAATGACTCTAAACTTGTTATTATGATCGTGTTTTAATTTCCTCATTTATACGCGATTATTTTTATCAGTATATATATAGGCTAAAATAATATATATCTTCCTTGTTCCTGTTTTTATTATTTTTGCGCGCATTTTTGATAATCTTCCCGCAATTTGGTTTAATTATTTTGTTTCCATTTTTTTTTTACAATTAAATTTTTCAATCTATTGCAAATTTATTTATTTATTTATTTACACGGGCAATACCGGAATAAAGAAATTTATTTCAATTTTTTATAATTTATTTTTATTTTATTTTTTATTTATTTACTTTATTTTTATAACTTTTATTCAATTTTTATGATTTATTGAAAATTATTTCTTTCAATTTTATGATTTATTTGAAATTATTTATATTTTGTAATTTAAAAAAATGGAATTATACATCCAAAGTATTTTTGATTTATAATTTTAAATATAGAGTAAATTATATTTAGTAAACTCTACCTACATTGAACCTTTCAACTATATATATATATATAAATGCCAGAATCTAATCTCCTTTCTTGATTCATTAATTATTTATTAGTGTTTGAACAACCCTCGAATATTTCGTGACATGATAACTACTGAATTATATATTATAATAAAGCCCTAATTCCCACATTGATAAAAATAATATCTAAAAATGATTTTTTAAATCATGTTTCTGGAACTCATAAATATTTTAATTCAATCATTTTGTCATTTTTTTTTTTATTTGATCCAATTTAAATTTATTATTATAACAATGTGGTTTACAAATTAATTATTAAATAACAATTAAAATAAATACCCGTTTGACCTACTAAATAATAAATTAATTAATAAACAAATTAATAAAAATTTACTGTAAAATAAAATTTATTATAAAGTAAAAAGAAAAAAAAATTAAAACAAATTAATTAATAAATAAATGATAAATAAACAATAATAATAATAATTATTATTATTACTATTATTATTATTAATGGATAGAATTATTATTATTATTATTATTATTATTATTATTATTATTATTATTTTCATTATTATAAAATATTAATAATGTTGTTAACAATAAATTAAAGTAAAAAATAAAAAAATAAAAAATTAAAATTAAAATGCAAATAAAATAACATAAATAAAATTGAGAATGGTTATTATTATGTTTTCGTTTTATTTTTACGTGGGGAAAACGCAGACATTTGCCAGGTAGTCACGGTCGTCAAAATGTTTCTGTTCAATGTTGATGAAAAATGCACTAGGTGTCCCAAAGTGGAATAATATATAGGAGAGGAGGGTGAGAAAAAAAAGGGGGATATATATAGTGTATACGTGTGATGGTATATATCATGAATTATATTTCACATTTCAACAATCGACCAACAGGTATATATTACATGAGTTTCTTTTTTTATTCACGTGCAAAAATCGCCCCTTTCTTTCCATTATTATGTCACTTATAGTAGATAAGGAGGGGTTGAGAAAAAGTTTTGTAGTTATCGTATATAAAGGTGTCACAAAACCCTCCACTTAAAAAAAAAAAAAAAGGTTTTAAGACCTTTTCTTTGATAATATATTCAATTTTGATAATATATAGAAAAGTCAAGGTAAAACGATCAATTGTATATAAATTTTGTAAAATAAGTATTTTTTATTCGCAAATTTTTTTCATTATACTTTTTTTTTTGTACATTGTTATTATTTTTTTTTCTAATTATTTTTAATTTGAATAAAGAAGAATAAACTAGGAATTGATTGATTCAATTAAAAAAAAAAAAAAGGAAAATTGACTTTTCTAGTGATTTTGCAAATATCGTAAATGCACTCGATTATATAAGGGACGAACTAATAAAGAAAACGCTATGCTTCCTTTGATACTCGTTTGCATATATTCATTTCAAGGGAGAGTTTGTGTGCGAGATCGCGTAACAAGTCACCTCCCCTTTTTCACCCTTCAACCACCCCCCCCCCTCTCCAGTCTACCCCCTCGAAAGGCCATCGCGGTGTTCATTGTCGCTTTCTCTCTTACACGAGTTTGGATTTTCCTTCTCTTTCTCTCTTATACTTAAATTTACATCCCTCTCTCTCTGACTTGTTCTCTTTCTATCGTCATCTCTCGCTTTCTCGCCACATGGCAATGTATACATATATATATATATGGTAGAAAGGGTGAGAGAGCGATGAGATGAGGTGGTTTCCATGGAAACGATCCAGCCAACCATCCTGGTTGTTCAGCATCGCGCCTGCAACCCCAAGTTGATCCGACTCGATGGCACCGCGTCGCTGAATCCGGAAACGAGCCTACTTCTCCGACAGATTTGACTCTTTTCTTTAAAAAACCCACGCCCGACGACGACGACCAATCTCATCTTCTTTTTTTCTTTGCGCGTTTTTATCTCAACTAACCGATCATCTGTTATATATAATTTCATTTATTGAGCTGTCGAGTTGAAAATTTCACGAGTTTCCCCCATCTTATTCTCTTATCTGTGACAATTTCTTAGAAATTGGAAAAAAAATTTTTTTTTTTTATTTGATTCAAATAATCCGATTAGTTTATTGTTATATATTTATCAAATAAAACATTTTTAAATTAACCACTTGGAAAGATTCCCCGGAGATTCTATCAGAATTCCGCCGGAACCTCCAACATAATTCCGTCGGAATTCCATCGGAGTTCCAAATAATTTCCGATGGGATTCCGACGGAATTTTTAGAGTTCTAATTCCGTCGGAATTCTGCCGGAACCTCCAACATAATTCCGTCGGAATTCCATCGAAGTTCTAAAGAATTTCCGATGGGATTCCGACGGAATTTTTAGAGTCCTAATATTCCGTCGGAATTCCGCCGGAACTTCCAACATAATTCCATCGGAGTTCCAAATAATTTCCGATGGGATTCCGACGGAATTTTTAGAGTCCTAATTCCGTCGGAATTCCGCCGGAACTTCCAATATAATTCCGTCGGAATTCCATCGGAGTTCCAAATAATTTCCGATGGGATTCCGACGGTATTTTTAGAGTCCTAATTCCGTCGGAATTCCGCCTGAACCTCCAACATAATTCCGTCGGAATTCCATCGGAGTTCCAAAGAATTTCCGATGGGATTCTGACGGAATTCCGACGGAATTAGGACTCTAAAAATTTTGAAAAAAAATTAATCGGAACTCCGTCGGAATCCCATCGGAAATTATTTGGAACTCCGATGGAATTCCGACGGAATTACGTTGGAAGTTCCGGCGGAATTCTGATAGAACCTCCAGGGGACACTTTCCGGGGAATCTTTCCAAGTGGGATATTAGGAAAAATTACTATAGGTTTACTAATTTATTTTTAGGAAATGTGTATTTTCGGAAATAGTTACCCTATACCAAAAATTACCAGTGTTCACTACTGGCGCGGTACTGGTACCAATATCGCGCCACTACTGTTAGTACTGGCGCTGTACTGCCCCAGTATATAATTAATTTTTGATAATTTATAGGAAATTTTAAAATTAGGAATTTATTTATTATTATGATAAATAATTATAATTCATTTATTTATAATTAATTA